AAAAATTATTTTATATTAATGTTTATTATTAAGTATATAATAATAATATTAATATTTTATATTATGTTCATATTTTTGAAAATATATCTATACACATAATACAGCAAATTTTGAACATATCATTCTTATGACATTAATTCAAACAACACAAAGTTCTAAAATTATGATAAAACGTCTTTAATGCCCATTTCTATCAATGTAGATTAATTTAATCTCGATTCAACTTACTCTTCCTCTTTTTCTAAGCTTTAGAACTAGAAAAAAATAAAAAAACAGGCATAAGTCGTCTTTTAGTTACCGAAAATAACTCGATTTTAGACATTTTTTTGTTATTAGATAAGTTATATTTATAAAAATTATTAAATATTAACTCACTGCTGCTGCGCGTTTCAATTGTTTTTCCTCCTATGTAGCCTTCCCATATATTTTTTGTGCACGACGTAGCGCACGATTTCACAATTATTGCACAATCCTTTAATAGCATGATATTGGAGTTAATTATTTTTTGCCAAGATTATCGAAAATTGCGACGTATTGTACTCCCGACAATCTCGACGCGCGCTTTTTCATGTCATGATAGAGCAAGGCGAAAGATACGTCATGGCGAAATGCGCATTAGCGACATCACGTTGGATCACTCATCACAACTAAACGCATTGGACAAATCTAAAGTTCCTAGAACTAGATTACTTCCTAGATATAATGCGTGATCTGTAATAGCAATAGCAGTAATGATGAGGTTGATGAGTAAAAATTGACCAATCATAGTTGAATGTAAGAAGAATAATCGAATATGATTGGTCAAGTTCTATGCCTACTCCTTAATCAACTACTGTTATTGCCCATTGTAGACTATGCGTACAAAGAAACACAACCGAGCATATTTATTACAATTAATCATCTGAAAAAAAATGGCGATCTGCGTTTTACATCATTCCGCAAACGGAGTGCGATTCCTATAACAGTAGTGTTTCTATTGACTACAAAGAAATACTAATTCTCTTTGGAAATTACAATATACATATCAAGATTTAAAAATCATGATACTTATCAAAATTAGAATCTTAGAAGACTATCCGTAGAAAAAATGGCGGAACCAAGAAATCAGGACAACAGTTGCGTTTCTCTATTATATCTAGAACTCTACTTCTAAGTTGTGGTCAAAGTCTCGCTACAAATGATTAAAAGCATTTGATGGACTAATTAGAAGAAAGAATTTTACAAACTGACCAATTAAAAAACACTTCTAAGCATTCGCATTGACCGTATCCCTAGTAGTCTATTTCTAATAGTGTACTTTTAGCGATTCTAGACAAATCCATAGTGAAATTGAACAAATGGCGGAGAAGTTTGAAAATTTAAGTTTGATCAATTAGAACGGCTGCATTCAACGGACTCAACAGTTGATTTTGTTCCAAAATTCACTAATGCTGAAAATGTACTATATATGAAACAATAGATTTTCAATACTGGCAGTGAATTTTGGAACGCAGTGTGAGTGAGCGCTCGCTGCTATTGATGTATTCTTCCAGATCTAAAATGCTGATTGGATAAGCTAAAAGAATACACCAATAATAGCGAGCGCTACTCAACTGTTGAGTCCGCTGAATGAAGCCTGTCCATATGCGGTCCAAAAATCATCTCATTTTGATCGAATAGCCATGCGATAATGGTCGACGCATGCGTGATGAATTATGATTTGAATTTGAACGGCGTAACGAGCGTTTAGTTTACTTGTTTAGTCTTCCGTCGACTGTTATGGTGATACGACGAATATTCATGATTCTCGTGAGTGCGTTTTCCGATTATACAATAAATACGAGGCTTGCTTCCTTGAAATATTTGTTAGAACCGAAAAACTGAATTTACAATGTCGGACAGCATAAAAGTGGCTATCAAAGTCAGGCCTCTCATCAAACGAGAAAAGGATGAAAATTTATCGATACAGTGGGTCACCAATGAAAACACCATTCTAGCTACTGACTCTGAATTCAGAAAGCGATCTGATGGTAGATTCGAATTTGGTACGTCAATATGTTATACGAAATTAGTACAAATTTCGAAACGTGTCCCGAACACGTAATTTTTCTCGGCATACCTCTTTTGAAAAATTATTTTTGTATTTACATTTTTTTTTATTTTTTTACTTTTTCTTTTTTCTTCAATTAAAAATATTTCATTTCTTTAGCTATAAAATACATATACATGAAGTACAATTAAAGAAGTCATTCAAATTTAATTAATTAATTTAATTTGTATCATTGTCATGTGAGGTTATAATTTTATCGGCCATCTTTTTTATCTTTTATCCTTTGATTTTGATATAAGATTCACATATTATGTTTACATGATGTTACATGATTTGCAGACCATATTTTTGATATGAACGCCAACAACAACAATGTATTTAATGTTGTAAAGCCTATTGTCGATGCTGCTGTAAATGGATTTAATGGCACAGTATTCGCTTATGGACAGACAAGTTCTGGTAAAACTTATACCATGATGGGTACTTTGGAAGAACCTGGCATAGTACCTTTAGCTGTTGAACATATGTTTGATGCAATAACCAATATTCCAGGACGCGAGTTTTTATTAAGGTAAATATATCTGTTGTGACAAAAGAATAACTTATTTAATAAGAGAATATATTTTATGACAAAAGTATAATTTAATTAAGTAAGAGTTTAGAGCTCTCTTATCTATTTTTCAAAATTTATCTGTATTATAAATTATAATAGGTCTGTTCGCACTTTTTGCGTCTTTCTGCTTCTTTGCATCTTTGCTTTCTTTCTTTTCAAAGCCAAACATATATCTATCTCATTTTAAGTGCAAAAATATTTGGATTTCATGCAATGGGAACAGATTTGCAATCAATAACATAGATCTTAAGATGATCCTACAATATCAATAATATTTGCTATGTTACACTGTATGCTTAGTCCATGGGTGCTTTTGTTTAATCTATAGGATAAACAAGAATATCTATTGTATAAGCTATGGCCTAAATGCATGGTAAACGTAGCCTCTGTATCAATAAATATGGACAGTATTACTGATTGTGTGTTGTTAATATGATGGATTGACATAGGATATAGATGGTGATCTAGATTTTAATTATCAAGTCTAATATTATTAAAATCCATGTCACTGTATATTGGTGCAATAGATATTGTACATAAAACTAAAGTTAAAATTAAGTTAATATATTATCAATGATACTGATTGTGTAAGGTTGTAAAAATACTAAAAGCATATTATCAGTATTACTGATTTAATATTACTGATCAATATTATTGACCATGCAGGGTCCTTTAATTAATAATCCACCAGTATTAACAAATACTATCAATTAATTATATGTGATTAGTATTGATATAGATTATGGATTATAGAATATTGATAGTGATCTAGATTTCTTCATTCTTCAATATCAGTATTCTCTCACAGCAATACTATTGCTTAAAAATCAAGAAATTTGGATTATCACCTATAATATTGTTAGTATTTGTTGATTTTATATTATTAATTGTATAAGACTTGTAAAAAGAATACTTCAGCATTCTGTTAGTGTAGTTGCCTAATTGTATAAAACTAAGTTGAAATAAAACTATCAATAATATATGTCAATAATATTTTATTGATTATGTAATGTTACAAAAAGTGTTAATGTGTATTGTTAGTATTACTGATTCAGTATTGGTCGTTTAAAATTCATATAAGTATAGCCTTTTATAACACAATATATTAATGTTTCAGAGTATCATACTTAGAGATTTATAATGAAAAAGTTAATGATCTCTTAAACAAAAACCAAGACAAAAACTCAACAGATTTAAAAATACACGAAGATGTAAATGGTCAAGTATTCGTAAAGTGTAAGGAAGAAGTTACAAATAGTCCAGAGAATGTTTTAGCAATAATGAATAAAGGTAATAAAAGCAGAAGAATAGGCGAAACAAACATGAATGAGCGAAGTAGCAGAAGCCATACAATATTTAGAATTGTAAGAATATCAATTTTCATTAATACTATATGAAATATTTTAAAATAGAAAATTATTTTATTATTATTACTAGATAATCTGTATAACAGATATAAGTTACTGTATTGCTGACTGCAAACTTTTGTTATTCGTTGCAATGCAAAAAAAATCGTGCTATGTATATTATAGATTTTTATGTGTAATGGATAACGGAACGCAGCCTATACCTAGATATAATAATCCATATATTTCCATAAATTTGAAAGTTGCAACACAATGACATTGCAGACAATTGAAAGTCGTGAGGCTGGTGCAGGTTCAGATGGTGCGATACAAGTTTCCCAATTAAATATGGTCGATCTAGCTGGATCAGAAAGGGCTCGTCTGACAGGTGCTAGTGGAGAACGTTTCAAGGAAGGACGTCATATTAACTTATCACTTTCAACGTTGGCCTTAGTAATAAAACAATTGAGCGAATCACAAGACTATGTAAATTTTCGAAACAGTAAATTAACAAGATTACTTCAAACTTCTTTGGGTGGCAACGCAATGACAGTAATGATATGTGCAGTAACACCAGCTGCTTTAGACGAGACTCAATGCACATTATCGTTAGTATTTTTTCTTCTTTTTACGTTAGGCCTCTGGCCTGTTACACCTCTCTCATATGCTTGTGGGGCGTACACTGATTATTTAATTCACAAGCATATGGGACCTATAGTTTTAACACCGATTCCAAATGGCGATTTTTTCGTGAGATGTTTCTGTGAACAAGAATATTCTCAGGAAATTACTGTTTTTTTTTCCAAGAAAAGATACGAGCATAAAAATTTTGATTCCTCCAGGATCAAACTCGGAATTTCTGACATAACAGGCTAGTGCGCTGTCTGCCATGCCACGCTCGAATTCTAGTTTTTGAAATTATTTGATATATATTAACGTAGTGTAACTGACTTTTTATTTTTTAATGAATAGGTTTGCATCTAGAGCTAGAAATGTAAAAAATGATCCTAAATTGAACGAAGTTATGTCTGACGGTGTACTTTTAAAACGATATGCAAAACAAATAGATAAGTTACACACAGAATTAGAGGTAAGTGTATATTATAAATGTTTTATTTTGGGTTATTATTGGGTTATGAGAAAATTTTTTGATTGAATTTTCTACACAATCACACGATAAACTCTTTTAATTCTTAACTGTAACAGCGATGTAACAACGATGTCTCATCGGTACAAATCTGGATATTTCGAATCCATTCTTTAATCTATTCAAAATAGTTAAAAAAAATTTCTAAAAATTTACAAACATACTTTCGATTTTCTAGAATAAAGTTTAGACTTCTTTTGAATAATAAAATGTATATATTATTTAATTTGTGTCGAATTTGTGAGAAATTTGCACGAACAGAAGTCGGACACAAAATACACAGAATAGTACCGCAAGGAGCAAATATTTAAATAATAATATATATCTTAAGATCTTTTAACTTACATAATAAATTCATATTTTTAGAGAATGAAACAGTTAACTCAAACAACTGATTTTCAAGAAATGGAATCTAAAATGCAAGAGAAAGATCGCATTAATCAGAATCTAGAAGAGCGTATTAGATTACTGCAAACTCGGATCATCACTGCCGCTAATCGCAATACTATAGCATCGTTCAAAGTTAAAGAAAAAAGAAGACAGACTTGGTGCGGCACTGGTGGATTTAATAAATTAAATACATCTTTATTTTCATCGTGCTCGCATTTATCACCAATTAAAGAAATGTCACCTATCAAATCACGTATTAGACGTAAATCTAATACTACTATGGATTCATGTGCGTTTTATTTTTTATACTGTGCAAATTAAATATTTAATAAACTAAATTATAAATTAAAGATATGTATTATTCTTATAGCATTCCAAATAGCCTTTGCTGATTTTGAGCTGGAACTTATGAATAGTGAAGCAAATCATGACGAAGACATCAGTAGCGATGAGGATCCATTTGTTACATATCGTGACAAACATCGTGTAAAATTTACCGATGATGTAATTGTCAAATCACCTATAAACTATAGCGACGATAATATCACATTTGACAAAATTGAGGCGTCCACTCAAACTGTAAGGTAAGTAGTACAGAAAAATTAATTTGATTTTATTTTACAATTATTTTAATCATTCTCTGTTTATAACTAGTAATAACTCACCTGATACACCAAAGCGTACTTTGCGAGACAGAATCCGTAATTTGACGGAAGAATATTCAGAACTTAAGGAATTTACAACCTTGGAAAAACAGCTACATTATGAAGACCACTTATCTGAACTCCAGGAAAAACGTTCACAGTTTGAAAAGCAATTGGAAAATATCACATCTGATAAGGAAGCTTTCGAACATATAGCATCTGAACTTCGTAAAAAGTTAACTGCAGCTGAATTACGATATACTTTAGCAGAAGATCAATTAAACGTTCAAGTAGCAGAATTAGAGAGAATATCAGATTTAGAAAAAAAAATTGCGCAGTTGTCTGCACAAAAAATAGAGGTGCAAAATGTTCCTAATCTATATAAACAGATAGCTGTTCTTACAGCTGAAAAAGATGGATATGAACATGTGGCATCTGAACTGCGAAAAAAACTTAATGAAGCCGAACAACGCAATATTGTATTAGAAGATAAATTAACCAGAAATGTAGAATTAGAAATACCATTTATTCAAACTTTGTCGAATAATGAGACCATTTCATTTGAAAAAGACGAACTGCAATGTAAAATAACTGATCTTCAAAATAAGCTAATAGAAGCAGAGTTAAATAATAATTCGATGAAAGATAAATTGGAGAAGCAACAGCAAATGCTACAAAATCTTCAAGAAGAAAAAAATATAGTTGCTTCTGAAATGCAAAATAAATTAAGAGAAGCAGAAGAAATTAATAATTCGATAAGAGATAGATTAAACGAGCAGCAACTAGAAGTTCAGAAATTTCAAGATCAGGAAAAGCAGATTGCACAACTTAAATCTGAAAATCACAAAGTTAAACTTACTGTCGAGGATCTTCAAGGGCAATTAATAGAAACAAAAATAATTATTAGCGCAAAGGAAGATAAAATGCATGAATATCAGCAAGATTTAGACAAATTTCAACATTTAGAAGATGTCATAAAGGAACGAATGGAATTTGAACAAATCAATAATGAGTTGAGGCACCAATTGACACAAATACAATTAATGAATGATTCAATGAAAAATAAATTAAATACGCAGGAGTTGTATATACAAAAGAACTGCGATTTAGAGAATCAAATTCAAATTCTTGCAATCGAGAAAAATGAATTTAAAGTTATAATTAGTGAATTAGAAGAGAAATTGAAAGAAATGGAATCAAACAATTCATTAAAAAACAAATCAAATGAATATGAAGCAAATCAATACGAAATCAATTTAAAGACCACAAATGAAACTTTTACATCTGAAAATAAATCTGAACAGATAATTTCCGAATTGCAAGAAAAGTTAAAGGAAACAGAATCGAATAATAGTTTAATCAAAGAAGAATTAAATGTATGTCAAGCAGAAGCGCAGAAAACGCTTGAAGAGCACAGAAAATCTATTGAAAATTTTGCAATTGAGAAAAGTAAATTGGAAGATACAGTGCGTGAATTTCAAGAAAAGTCAAAGGAAGCAGAATTGAATAACAATTTATTGAAGGACAGAATAAATGAACAAGAATTGCAGTTACAGAAGAATTATGATATGGAAAAAGAGATTGAATATCTCACATCGAAAACAAAAGAGTTTGAGTGTACAGTTCACGAGTTGAGAGAGAAACTGGCCAATACTCAGCATTGCATTTCAATAGAAAATGAATCGAATGGAATACAATTACAGAAAATTCAACTAGATGCGCAAGTCCCAAATACAATATCTGAAAGAGATGAACAAAACTCCATAAAATTGTGTCAACAATCGTTGAAGAGTCTCGAAAAGGAATTGATGGAGAATCAGAGCAAAGATGAAATCAATCATCTACAAAGTCGTATTAATGATTTGCAAAGTATTATTCAGGATATACAGAACGAAAATACATACTTGAAAGAACAAGCAACGAAATCGATATCATATAATGAATCCGATTTAGGTAATGATGATTCGTCGAAAATTACAGATGATTTATCGATTACAAAGATGTCTCTAGACGAAGATAGTGCTAAGTTGTCTGCAGATCTTGTTTTGAAAAATCAGGAATTAGATGAAATAAAGCACATTGTGCAAAGCTTGAAAGCAGACATAGAAAACTTGCAACAAACTGTATATTTATTAACGACCGAGAACAGTGAATTGGCAAATAAATTAGCAACAGAAAAGGAATGCAACGAGAAATCGATTATTTATTATCAGCAGACTATCGATGAACTTTACGAGCGAAACTCAAAAATAATGGATGAGAAACTCGAACTCGAGAATAATTTAACAAATCTTAATGAACAATTAGAAACTCTTCGCTCGAGAATGCCCGAGGTAAACTTAAACGAAGAGCAGATAATTCAAAAGTATGAAAAACAGATTAGTGAATTTCAGGCAAGAAATATAGAATTGTTGTCCCATCTCACAGACCGAACGAAAGAGCTTGAAATATTGAAAGAGAGTAAGTCGCTTTTGTATGAACACGATTGTATATATAAAGATAAATTAACGAATCTTACTGAGAAACATAAGCATTTAATAGCTGAAAACGGTGATCTTTCCACTAATTTAATGGATAAAATCGAGGAAAACGAAGGATTGAAACAAGAATGTGATATTCTAAAAAATAAACTAGAATTATCACTGAAAAATAAAGAGAGCATTAATAACAATGATGTGGAGCAGCTGAGAATGGAGAATACTGTATTGAAAACCGAGCTGATGGAACTCAAAACTAACTTAAAAACTTTAACCGAAGAAAACTCGAAAATATCCAGTCAATTAATAGAAACCATAGAAGATCTAGATAATGCACGAAAACTCAATTCTGGCAACAATACCATGCATTTGTCGACATTATTTAATAGTACCTTGATGAATGATGCATTGGATAAATCTGCGTTAGATGATGATGCTGAAACAAAAATCGTAAATCTGCAAGAGGAAGTTAATCATCTCACAAATCTCAATAGAAAGCTAAGTGATCTAAAATTAGGTACCTGTACACAGTGTAGCCACTTAAATGAGTTAAACGAAAATCGAAGAATGCTGAAACTCGAAGTAAAGACTCTTAATCGCAAATTAGAAAACTTGCAGAGGAAATTTTCTAGCAAATCTGCAAAGAGTGACGCGCTCATATTGAAGGCCAAAGAAGATTTAAACGTAAGTTCATGTAATTTATCTCTTAATGCCAGTTTTTCAGAAAATATGAATGTCACTTTCGTTGAGGAAAGACTTCAATCTTTAAACAATGAATTACAAATTTTGAAAGAAGATCATAATAAGCTATCGGATTTATATAAAGAGAAATGTAATGAAGTCGAAGAATTACAGAATAGCACCATCACGGATTCATCGACTAATGACAAGAATTCCAGCATAAAGAAGTCCCCAAGTAGAATTTCATTAAGATTAGAAAATATCGGGAAAGTTATGAATGATTTGCAAAATGATATCAAAACAATAAAGGAGAATAACGAAAGTGTCAAGTCAGATCTTACAAAGTTTATTAACGAAAAAGAAAGAATGCTGGATGAAATTAATACTTTGAAGACTATTAATGAAGAATTGTTGCAGAAATTGTCGGAAAGTGAACTCTTGCATGCTACTACATTAGAGAAAGCCGATATTCTTGAAAATGAGGTACAAGATATGACAAAAAAATTGCAGGAGTTTACTATAAGATATAAAGAAATTGAAAATGCAAAGCTACTTCTTGAGGTTGAAGTAGATAGCTTGAAGGAAGATAAATTGATGAAAGAGCAAACAGCAAACGAATTACGTCAAAGCCATTCCTGCCTGGAACAGGAATTAAATTTAATAAAGAAAGAGAAAGAAGAGCTTAACAATGACATCATTCTTTTGGAGCAAGAATATAATGAAAAACTAGATGCACTAAAAGCAATGAATGACAAGTTAACCAGCTCTAAAGCAGTTCTCTCGCAGGAATTCGCTAATTATATTAAAGAATCGGAAAATAGACTAATGGAACTTAATGAAAAAATAAACAAATATAATTCTGAAAATGATTATCTCAAACAGGAATTAATCAGGCTGCGCGATATAGAAAATAAATTTGAGAAGATGAGAACTGAATATCAGGCTCAGTCACAACAAGATAAAACATTAGTTGACGATAACAAGAAGCTCAAAAATGTATTGAATGACAGTTCTAAGAACATCATTAAAGAAATAAAGTCTCTCGAACCTAAAGTCGATACTCAGAAATTTATGAATAAATCGGTGGATGAGCTATTCCAGATATTTATGCAAACTATTTTGATGAAAGAGAAGGAAGTAATAAAAACTATGCGGGAGAATTACGATAAGGAGAAGCAAAAGCTCGAAGATGAAAAGCGTCAGAGTGTAGACTCGGAGAAACGTACATTGCTGTGGGTGAAAGAACTGGAGTGTGAGATAGAGAAACTTCAAAAGGATCTGTCTGAGCGAGAAATTGCATCCGAGGACTTACAGAAAGAAATTGCACATTTAGAACACCTTTTGGAAGAAAGTAATCGCGATAGAGAGATATTGAAAGAGAAGAATAGCTTACTTGAGACGGATCTCAACAATTTACAAATTGAATATAATAAATATTGTAAAATCGACACGGCCAATGAAGAAGCCATTGTTATCGCACAGAAACGAGAAAAGCAAGCGCAAGAGATGATAAAAAATAAAGAATCAGAATTTCAGAGGAAGTTGAAATCAGAGAAGGAGACGTACAATAAACAAATTGAAGATCTCACGTGCACAATAGAGTCGTTTAAGACGAAAAACATGGAACTGACAAATAGCATTGAAGGCCTCGAAGTTAATCAAAAGCAACTGAAAAATATCATCGACTTGAAAAGTAACGATTTAATGAAAAGCAATCAAATCAATCAGAAAATGCAGGCCGAGTTGGAACAGCTAACAGAAACTTACAACGATTTGCATAAAAAACTGGAAGAGAAAGAGCTATGTATCGCGGAAATCAAGGAACGTCTGAAAATTAAGTGCGATGAGCTGATAGAATATAAAATTAATCTGGAGACGATCGTGCCCGAAAATAAGCTGCTGAAGCAACAGATTAACGAACGGAAAGTCACCATAGAGCAGTACAAGGTGGAAATAGAGACTCTGAAAATGGAAAATAAAAAGGCAATTGACGCGATTAAAGATCAATTGAACTTTGAAGAGCTAAAGAGCACGGAGCTAAACAAACAGATAGCTGAATTAAATAATAAGCACATGGCTTTGACAGAAGAGATGAATACTTTGAAGGATGACTACACGACATTAAAACATAAGTACGCGACATTAGAAAAGCGAGTCAGGAACAGTACGAGCAAAGCCCAAGCAGAAGAACAAATGGAAGAACTGAAAGACTTGAACAGATCTTTGCGAAATAATTTGGACGGTGCTAGCAATCGAATAACGGAGTTGCAGGCTGTGAAAACCGATTTGATGAAGCAAGTGATTACTTTAAGCAGTCAATATGATACGGCGTGCAAAGACAATCAAAAATTAAAGGAAACACTATCATCGTCCAGACATAACGATACATATACTGCCTGCGAGAAGTACGACAATTTGCTACAAGAGAAAAACAAAATTGCATTAGAATTGGAAGCAACAAAAGTTCAATTGAATCAGAAAAACAAAGACATTGAGAATTATCTCCACGAGATAAAAGAATTGAAGAAAAAAAACACGGAACTCGATAAAGAATTAGACGAGTTGGCGGCTGTTATTTGCGAGCACGACGCAGATAATGCAAGACTTCAAGATAAGTATTTCATATGTCGTGCTGAAGCTGACGAACTACAAGACAAGATAAAAACTCTTGAGAAGAAAACTCAAATTAATCTGTTGCAAATAAACACATCCTCCAACAAGAGCGAAAAGTCTCTCGATGATGAATGTAGTTGCGCAATATTAAAAAACAAAATACGGGAGTTGCAATTAGAGGTAGTATCAAAGAATGGAAAGATCGCAACATTAGAACTGCAAATACGTAGCGGAAGTTTTCCTTATCAAATGAAATGTAAAGAACTACAGGAACACCTATCAGCATATAGTAACAAAGTACTTTATTATATTTTAATTATTATCAAGTTTATGTAAATACAATAATTTGATAAATAATTTGATTGTTTTTACAGAATAGCGAGCTGAAGGCGGAAATGAAGCGATTACAGATGGCTATGATACGTACAAGCGCAAAGGAATGTGATGTATGTAAACAGAGACTAATAAACAGGAGACATCAGGCATGCCAAACAATGCCGGAAATGTTGAAATTTTGTGGCATGAGCAGCGGCATAATCGATGTAAGTATATGCCAATATCTCAGAATTGAAGCATGCAATGTTCGGTTGAAAATAAAAGGGAAGAAATATAAAAAAATGCAAGAACGATTTTGTTTCATTGATTGCTGTGCTTTCATCTTATTATCATTATTATTATTTTATAAATTATCTTATGTAATACTAATTAATGATATAATTTCATATAGGATGAGATAAGAATAACGAAATTGGAGAAGGAGAAACAGATTATGAGGGACGTGTGTCGAACTAGATCAAAAACTATAAAGGAACTCGAAAAGCAAATAGAAGAATATGAAAAATTATTAAATTCGAAAAATTCATGATCTGCGAGAACATTCGTATTGCCATTTTATTGATTACTATATATATATATTTAATTACTGCGCGCGCGCGCGCGTGTGTGTGTATGTATGTATGTGGTCTGCGGCTTTTCATCACATGATATTTAACAATAATTTGATCTAAAGTTTGCATAACATATAGAACATATAAAATGTAAATATCGCAATTTTTAATTTTAAGATAATACAATAATAGTTTCATATTTTTGTAATGCAGAGAACTGTCAACTTTGTTACTTATTTTATATATCGATTACAGATAACGATATATTTTTTGCTAATTTTACATAGGTTTACTAGTTTAAGAAAATATAATTCCTGTGATATACATATAATGAGATATAATTTATCAGAATATAGTGTGTGTGTGTGTGTGTGTGTGTGTGTGTATATATATATATATAAATATTATATGACTGAGATAAATCAATAGCTATAAATTAAATTTTATCCGCCGTCTACATTGTGCCTTTTTACATATTTATTATCTTGTCTTATTATATGTAATTTCAAAAATAATAATATGACTATAATTATTATGATCATTTTTTAAGTAAAACACAACGCTGAGAATGCAAAGCTTTAAGACAATTATCTCTCGTATCGTTTTCATTATATATGGTCTTTCATTACACACTTGCCATGCGATTGACGAGTTATGGGACCTACAATTTAATTATGCCGAACGGCGCTGATAATCAAAGATCTTTTATAGCGTATTCGATTTACTGACTCGACTTGTCTCCGAAGTCAACGATCTATTCTTTTTAGTTGCATTTCTTGTACAATTTAGCTCTTCTTTTGCAGCTACAGAATAGATCATTGATTTGGAGTCGAGTCAATAAATTGAATACGCTATTAATCACCAAATGGAGTCATTTTCGACTGTACTGAAGTCCCATGAGGCGTATTTGCGTAACCGCGTAACTAGTCAGTAAGACACGAAATAACAGCAACGACATTGTCAGCAATATCTCCGGCATTGTTTGGCATGCCTGATGTCTCCTATTTATTAATCTCTGTTTGCATACATCGCATTCTTTCGCGCTTGTACATATCATAAAACCATCTGTAATAAGATCGCTTCTGATTAATTACATGGTTACGCGATACGCGGCAGTCTCCTTATGAGACTCCAGCATTAAACGCGAAAAATCGCGTATGTGAGCGCAGGGATTGAACCCAGATCTATAAATCGCGAATCAATCGCACCGAGTGGCAAGCCACTCGACGCCTCAGCTAAGTAAAGCTGTATGTTGATATATATGTTGATGTAAAAATCTACGCGTCTCTAAATTTAGAATTAAAAAATGTAGATTAAATCTTATATTGCAGAATAGAAGTCTAAGTGGAGAAATAATTATGTTATTGAATTATACAAAATAATATAAGTATGATAATCAATTACCAAATAGTAAAATTTTTATAACAAAAAATAGAACGTTTAAGTTTGTTTCGTTTAGAAATTACGTTATTGAATTTCTTTTTGTAATTAAAATTAATAAATATTTGCTTAAATAATGTAAAAACTTTGTACAAAACGTTCCTTG